GCTGGCTCCTCGTTAGAAGCTGAATTTTTATCGGAAGGTAACTTTTCAGAGGCCCCAGCATCGGTTTCTTTCTCAGTGTTCTGTTCCTCCTCTGTTGACTTTCCTTTCTCCGGTTTGGATGATTTTCCGACAGAAAATAAGGACGATATGCATGTGCATAGAAAAGTGAAGATTGTAAATTTTAGAACTACTTGTTGAAAATGAAAAGATACACGAGCGCGAGACGAAGAGAAATTTTCTGAGAACTCTACGAGGAACCGAACCTCAGGCTCTCAGTCGTATTATTAATCGATCAGTCTATCAAATAATTCAACAATCGATTAAATACCCATTGGCTATTTAGTAGAGAAAACCTAAAGAAAACCTAAATTACTTCGGAAGACAAATTGAAAACTAATGAAATCTGAAAAGCTCAGTGTACCTTCAGTAAAACCCTTCAATTAATCTTGATTATGTAAATATCTTCGTCGTTATCTTTCTTTGCATTTCCTTCGCTGCTTTCTGCTTTTATGTCGTCATCTTTCTTGTTATCGCTCTATTCAGCTGAGTACTCCATGTTCTCCGCTGTTGGTTTGTGATCACGCACACAACAACCCTGTTAAGTTTAACATAACAGATGCATCGCAAACAGAGTCGACAAAGGGTACTGTAAGGCTGTGAGCGCTCAAATACCTCTTACTAACCGAATTCTCCGTCCGTACTGTAAGTTACGGATCATAAATCCGAGCTGAAAAACGAGGATCCATAGCTTATAGCACGGACCGAGAGAACAAGGGTAGTAACATATTTATCCATCTCTGGGTTCAAATTGAGGGGGAGATTCCAATTCAAACGGAATTTCGAATTCAGACGGCTGCACAGTGAAATACGGCCTGCTAAATTGACCAATCTTAACCCACTTACGAACTGAGAGATATATCAAAGGCTCGTATGTAGATTGAGAAAATACAAGGGTCTCGTGGATCATTAATTTCATACCCAGATCCCTCTCGCGAGCTCACTTTCGGTTTCGCACACAAGAGAGATCTTGTAATAAGAGTAATGTACAGTTAAGACGTAATTTACTTACAGTGCCTTCGAGGGATGGATCAAAATGCAATACGCGTTGCTGACAGCAGGGATATATTCTAATTATCTTGGTCGCTGCGCACTCCAAGTTTCCAAAATCTACAGTCATCGGGTGACAACGGCAGTGACCCAATTCTGAGCACTGGAAATAATTCCCGCAACGGTGACAGTAGAGGACATTCACTGCACCCCATAATCTGTGTAGAAAACAATACAAATATGTTAGCGTGGGATAAATTTGGTTGGTGCGCCGCACGAAAAGCTGGCATTGTTCCGCGGAGCGCGCTGATCACAATATTTATCGTTCACGCTTATTTTTTCGGACACGCACGCCAGACTTCGCCTAAAAGGAGGGCCTGCTCGTTGTCTAAAATCAAAGGGAATCTTACCTCCAGTAAACTTCTTTCCAAGATTTTACTTCATCTCTTAATCCAGAGATTAAGGTAGTCATTCACATCCCAGGTAAAGTCCCTGTAGGAGACGAAGACACATAGCCATGATATGCCTTCAATAATTATTCTTACTAGAAAAAATAGGGAGAACCTTCCTTGCCCCATTACACTACTATTTCCAACAGGTACTGATCCGCAACACCAGAGAAGTCTATCAAATAAGACTTAACATCAGCCATCAACTGTAGGGAAGCGTGTCCTCTACTTGCTCTGGGGTGGGAAGGGGGGGTGCCATCGCCCAAAGAAATATTGCAATTACAGTTGAAATTCCAACGAGAATTTGCAAGGCAAGATTTTTGTATAACCCCATACTACACAATTCAAACAGTTCTTTGATAAAAGCAGACAATGGCGAAAACAATAGACCGACTTTCGGACTAAAGCTTTGTTCTCGATAAGTAGGGAGTTAAACGGAAATCTTTCCCCTTAACAGATGTATTTCATGTTGCCGTGCTTCTGTTCAGTAGTAGATCAAAGATGACGTCAAAATGTGGTAAGAACAAAAAAGTGGCACACGAGGCGCAGCTGAGTCTGTCATTGATGTTCTCACCATATTTTGACGTCATCTGTGATCTATTAAAAAGTTATTCCACGAGCGCGCGTTGGATATGAGACGATAGATAGCCAACGAGGGCCGTGAGGTCGAGTTGGCTATCTACCTTCTCATGTCCAACAAGCGTGAGTGGAAGAATTGTTTTCATTAAAAACGCTCTAAAGACTTAACAAAACTCAGAAGAAACTTGGCTGAGACTTTCTGATGTATTGTGTCCTTATTGGACATTTCTGGCTAGTACATACGTGATCAGGAACAGCATGCACTGATCATTTGCTATTCATAGCTACATTGAAGCTAATTTGGCCCAATTCTCCCACTCGCGCTTGTTGGATATGAGGGTTCTCCCTATTTCTTCTAGAAAGAATAACTATTGAAGGCATATCATGGTTATGTGTCTTCGTCCCCTACAGGGACTTTACCTGGGATGTGAATGACTACCTTCTTGGATTAAGAGATGATGTAAAATCTTGGAAGGAAGTTTACTGGAGGTAAGATTCCCTTTGATTTTAGGCTACGAGTAAACTCTCCTTTTCGGCGAACTTTGTCGCGCGTGTCCGAAAAAAATTAGGAAGAACAATAAAAATTGTGATTAGCGCGCCCCGCGGAACAATGCCTGCTTTTCATGCAGCATGCTAACAAAAATATTTCGTTGTTATCAATTTATCACACGCTAACATATTTGTATTGTTTTCTACACAGATTATGGGGTGCAGTGAATGTCCTTTATTGTCACCGCTGTGGGAATATTTTCCAGTGCTCAGAATTGGGTCACTGCAGCTATCACCCGATGACTGTAGATTTTGGAAACTTGGATTGCACAGCGACCAAGATAGTTGGAATATATCCCTACTGTCAGCAACGCGTATTGCATTTTGATCCATCCCTCGAAGGCACTGTAAGGGAATTGTATCTAAGTTGTGCATTGCTTTCGAGTGGTATCTCTTCTATGCACTAGTTTCGTACCCAGATTTCCCTTATGTGCGAAACCGAAAGTGAGCTCTTTAGAGGAATCTGGGTATGAAATTGATCCACGAGACCCCTGTATTTTCTCGGTTTACATACGAGCCTTCGATATATCTCTCAGTTAATAAGTGGGCTAGGATTAGTCAACTTTGCTGGCCGTATTTCACTGTATAGCCCGCTGAATTAAAAATTTCGTTTGAATTGGAATTTCCCCCTTAATTTGAACTCATAAATGGAATAAATATGAAACTAACCTTGTTTTCTCTGTACGGACTGTAAGCCATGGATCCTCGTTTTTTCCGCTCGGATTTATGATCCGTAACTTACAGGACGGACGGAGAACTCGGTTAGAGGTATTTAAGGGCACACAGCCTTGCAGTGCCCTTTGTCGACTCTGTTTGCGGCACATCTATAATGTTTAACTTAACACTGAGGGCTGCTGTGTGCGTGATCACAAACCAACGTTAAGCAAACCAGTTTCGAACACAGCAGAATAAAGAGAACTCAGCTGAATCGAGCAATAATAAGAAAGATGACGACGTAAAAGCAGAAAACAGCGAAGGAAACGCAGAGAAAGATAAAGACGAAGGTATTCACATGATCAAAATTTGTGCCTAAAGAGCAAGTCACAAGATTAATTGAAGGATTTAATTGAAGGTACAGCTTTTAATATATCATTGGTTTTCAACTTGTCTTGCAAAGTAATTTATGTTTTCTTTAAGTTTTCTCTAATAAATAGCCAGTGGAAATTTAATCGATTGTTGAATTCTTTGATAGACTAATCGATTAATTTTACGACTGAGAGCCTGGGTTCGGTTCTTTGTGGAATTCTCAGAAATTTTTCTTCATTTCGCGCTCGTATATCTTTTTGCTTTCAACAAGTAATGCTAAAATTTACAATCTTTTCTTTTCTACGCACATATCTTCCTTATTCTCTGTAGAAAAATCATCCCAACCGGAGAAAGGAAAGTCAACAGAGGAGGAACAGAACACTGAGCTTTTTTGTGTACGTGGAAAACCTCGAAATGGACAACTCGACAGCGGGCTCACACGCCACAAGAGAAAAGCGACAACAAACAAAAACCAAAAGAAGTAAGACTGTTATGATGGGATTATCAATGTTTTTTTTGTATAGTGTTTTATATGTATTCTTCGACAGGCAATTTCGTTCCAAACACCAGCAAGAGATTTTACAACCATAAAGTTAGCTCAATCTTTATTTGTCTTTTGCAGTTTGGAAGAGGCATTTTCTCTAAGTTGAACCACAGGCGGCCCAAGCTCACGTCTCGAG